GGCGAACAGGTACCACTCACGCTTTACAAATTGCTGCTAAGGCCGACAATCGCTCGCGATCCACAAACATGTCCATGAGATAAGCTCCCATGTTCGGGGTATCAAGGTACAACTGGAAAAATCGGTGGTAGTTTCCGAGAGCAAGGGCAGAGCGTACATCCAAGGCATGTTTCACAGCAGGATCCCGTTTGTCTGCTGGGGTTAGATCGGCTAAAGCATCGTTCATGGCCGTCCAATTGCGAGTATGAATGAAGTAGAGAATACGATATGCCCGGAATTCTGTGGGATGCCCGCCAAGCTGCTGTGCATACAGTGCGCGAAGCTGAGTCTGACACTGATTATACTCACCAAGGTCCCCTTTCTCCAATGCGATTCGGGCGTGAATCTCGTAGACGCTGACAGTAAATTCGTTCTTAATATGCTGCACTGTCAGATCTTGCCGCAACGACTTAAACTGGTCACAGATATATGTATAGTTGTTGTCTTTTTTCCACTTCTTCTTCAGCACGTCCAAGGTCTTATGCAAAATATGCAAGGGCCGCACGGTCTCCGGCTTCGGTGCGGCAGTCAGGCGGAAATAGTTCTTTTCCAACTCCTGGCAAGTTCCGACAACAGGGCCGGTGTTCGCAGCAGGGACGGGTGAGGTGCCGCGGGACGACGCGGAGGAACCATTAGAAGCCTGAGGCTCTTCGAAGCGTTTCCTCCGCATTTCCAGATTGGCTTTAGACTTACTAGTATTTTTCAGATCTATTCTTTGGCGCTTATCAGTTGAGGCATAGGTGATTCGATCTTCAAAAGCATTGTGATTGTTAGTTTTCCGCCAAGGGGGACAGCCGTTCGCATCCCCTTGGTACTCAACCGACTTCCGCTTCTTCGACACGTCTTCCAGCCCGTTGCTATTGGATTTCTTGGGTGAGAGTGTGCCGAAGGTGCCCCAAGTCGATACGCTAGGGCTAGCTAATATCTTGTTTCGATCATTCTGAACCATGACTTGAGGCAGGGGCAAGTTGGTCCAATCGATCTTATCGAGCATATTATTCTCGGCCGCTTCGGTGATGACGGCTCGGAGTTTGGTTTCCATCTCGCCTCGCTCGACTCCAGCGAGCCGATTTTCAGGTGCAAAACTGCGTTGTACGTACAATCGCACCGGTTCTGGCCACTCTACTCGTTGTTTGCGGGGGGCGGTTTCCGTAGATGTTTGGTGCGACGAAGCCGGTGTTGGGGCAGAGATCGTTGTTTTGGCAGTGGTAATACTACGGCGTGCTTGAACAGGGGTATAGGCAGGGGTTGCTATCGTCCTGGTTAGTATCGACGGGGTAAGTGAGTGATGGATGCACATACCATGACTCGAGTACAGAGAAGCCGTGGCGGTAGGTGCTGCCGCCGTGGCACGCCAAGGTGGAATACCAGCACTCATATTGGACACAGGTCTAAACGAGGCCAACAAGAGATAAGGGGGAAGCGAAGGGTGAAAGGCAAGAAAAAGAAGTATGAGCTACGAGTGAGTTGATTTCGATATTATAGGAGACAGGTCAAAACATCGTTCTTACACAGACAGAGCAAAGACGACAGTATCAGGAGAAGGATGTATGTTTGCCGCCACGAATCCACAAGAGGGGCGAAGTCTTGAAGTTGTCTGCGGGAGGTTCGATAAAAGACGAAGCGTTTTCACAAAAAAAAGAGAGGGGGAGGAGAAGGGGAATAAGGAGGAGAGAGGAACGAGGGAGGACAAGTCAAGCTGCTTACCGCTCAGTCAGTTTCCACTTCATCCGGTGGCGGAGATTTTCCCTTGACGCCAGTGGACGATGTCGCTTGCCGTAGTTTCCACCCCCTCCCCCATTGATTGATTACGTTAGCAGTCTCGCCAATGATCTAAACTTACCGATAACGAAGAGGGAGAGACCCCCATCGTCATCCTCCCAAACAGTCAAACGGATCTTTCAATCAAACTTCAAAACAAGAAAAGACATTGTCCTCTTCCCAGCTCGACCGGCGAAGAGATGCTGTTTGGTTCTACTAGATGTTCTTCAAGCCTTTGGATCTAACTACCGCACTTCGACCTGCACTTTTGCCCGATGAAGCCTTATTATTTGTCCAGGATGCGGTGGGGTTGTACGAAGGGTAAGTCGCCAGCGGTTCCTTTGAACAGGGTAGAATGCATGCATGCAAATGTGTGCCCCTTGGGTCAACCTCGATTACGGGATGATAATGTTGCGGCAATGGTAGGAAATACAAAATTCCCAACTATCAGAATGGCCATGCATACTTGACCTCGCACCGGGTGTGCTATGTCGCGCTCGAGGATCCACGGAAGTACTCTGTCGCCATCGATCTGAAAGAGGTTGACAGGGCGGAGTATCAGGTATGACGCACCTGGAGTGATCCTCTGTTCAATCGTTGATTTTATTCAGGCAGGTTTCCTGAAATCATCACCGAAGATCACATTATATCCGAAGCCGCCAAAGAGCTCCCTCAGCAAATCGAAGAGCGCTGGCGCAAGCCCATCTCGGGGGCAGTCACCGGGTCTTCTGGCCCCTAGACCGCAGATTCAGCCTGTCACTCCCAAGGCCATCAATGCGACTTGGGTCTGTCCCATCTGCTCGTTTTCAAATCCCGTGCCTTCGAACTTCGACCCCTCTACAGCCACAGCGTCGACACCAATCCCACCTTGTTTAGCTTGTGGCATTAAACCACCTTTGGCTACGATTCTAAAAGCTGTAATCACCGCCACATCCGGCCGAGATGGTCCTCCAACCCAATCCAATCCGACTTTGTCCGGGCTTGGAGGCCTAGCTCCAGTCAACGGCTCTCGGAGCTTATCCTCTTCGGATAACGCTCAGCTGTCATGTCCACGTTGCACATTTGTGAATCACCCATCTCTCACCGAATGTGAGATTTGTGGTGCCTCCCTGGCAGCGGCGGTGGGTGCTTTGAAGTCTACCCAGATTGATTCGTATCGCGCAGAATCGCCAGCACCCGTTTTCAGCCATAATAGCATCAAGAGCACGGAAATTACTGACTGTATGAAATTGTCTTTCCGGGCCGGTGGTATACAGATCTTTCATGAGAGATTGAAAGGCGCTTTAATTCAGAGAAAATGGTTGCTTTATGATGCCCCGCCCGTGCCGCAGCAGCCGTCGCAATCGAACGCGATCGCTTCCCCGGGCTTAACTGTGACTTCACCTGCGGAAGGAAGTGTGCCATCGCCCTCCCGGTCTCCTGGAGTGGGCATTGCAGGCCTCGAACAGCGAGGTCTCCAGGCTCGCAAGAACAATGAACTTGTCATCGGAAATGCATTTGAGGACTTAGAGGCGCTGATGGCATCGGCCAAGCAGGTGATGGCGCTTGCTGCATCTATGCGAGAGACGGGCATGACCAATGGCGATCTCTCAGGAGAAGCGAATGCAATCCTTCTGGAGTCTGCGGAAACGATGGGGATGGTGACGACTAAGGATATGCTTGGTAGTGGCGCTGGAAGCTTGTACATCTCCGAACTCTCACGGAATCTGGCCGAATACTTGACCGACGACCGCAAAGGCTTGCTCAACAAAGAAGGCGGCATCATAAGCCTTATTGATCTCTGGGCGATATTCAACCGGTCTCGGAACGGTGTTGAGCTCGTCAGCCCCTCCGATTTCCAGAAGGCAGCGGAGCTATGGGAGACACTTAGACTGCCGGTGCGCCTACGCCAATTCAAAAGTGGCTTGCTTGTTGTTCAGAGGTGGGACTGGAGCGATGAAGAGACCCTCCGAAAGATACAGACGTGGATGACAGAGCTCCGACAAGTGCCTCCAACGGAAACAGTTTCCTGGGACTGGCGTATGTTTGGACGTGCCGTCACTGCCCAGGAAGCAGCACAGCGATTTGGATGGAGCGTAGGTGTTGCAGCGGAGGAGTTAGAAATGGCCGAGGACAAGGGGGTTCTTTGTCGGGAGGAGGGCATTGAAGGTTTGCGATTCTGGGCCAACTTTCTGTCTGAAACCTCCATTGTCGGTGATTTGGGTTTGTCAGGAATAGTTCTAGACGAGGTCAATAGATGTACCTGAGCAGCATTATTATAGAGAACAATTGGTGTTGACAGAAGGCAGACATGCTTGGGTTCGTGGAATCTGGGACGAAAAGACATAAAGATAGCAGATAATGGGCTCAGTGGTGCCATTGAACCATTATTTGAGTGTCATCTCGAGCACATACTTTCGGCCAGCATCATTACCGAGTTCAGAAGTGAGAGAGATCTCATGGTAGCTGACTCAGCCCCTTAACCCCGCATTGACCGACTGGTCTTATCGGAGCTCTCTCCACCCTATCGTCTTATCACTCACAACTTGCCTTCATGGTCTTGTTCAATGCATGTTGTCAAACTCCTTCATCGACTTGGGACTGGGGAACTTTCGGTATCATACTACTATCTTGCCTACAGAGCTAGTCTCCAGCCTATTTCAGGCCTCTTTCTCCGCTCGTCACTACATCGTTCGTTCGATGTGACTGTCTATAGCCTCGCGGCCGTCTCGGTCTGAGGTCATTGTTGCTCACCTGTTTTGTCCCGTCTTTGGCTTCTCGTATCCAAGACCCAAGCTTCCTCAAGTGAAAAGGGCAGCAACATGGGCATTTCAATGACAACATGGCATATGAAAGCAATTAGGGGGTCCGGACTTCTGTCCGGCACTTACCCTCTCGCTGTACACTCCGTTTCGTCTCGACTCGTGATATCCTCCTCCAAGCACCGCAAGCTATCGCGCTGCTCTCACAACCATCGACATGGCCCTGACTTCCACAAGAAGCACATCTATGAGCATCAACACCTTTGTGAACCTCGGATGCGAACCAGACCGACCCGTCGAGCTCGACCAGTAGATTCTATCGTTGAGGATCATCAGCCGTGGTGGAGCCATACCTGGAGCTTAAGCCTGCCTTTTCAGAAGATCAGCAAAAAGTCCTCAAGGCATCCAAGCTCTTATAAAGACTTTTGGGAAATGGAGGTGAACCGTACTCGTCACACGATGGATCACATAAAGCAGGCAATTGAAAATGACCCTTACGGAGCTATCTTTGGAAGGAGACTTGAGCCATTGAAGTCTTTTGAGAGATTCGATAAGACTTTTACATCCTTATGTCGTGCGCTGTTTGGGCTCGGTGACAAATCCTTGGACAAGGCTCATGCGGATATAACCCATGGGACGCCGCGTACCATGACGACCACGGCAAGGTCTAAAAAGACCTCGGACACGCTCAAGAAACCTCAGCCAACCGAGTCAGGTAAGCCAAGAGGCCCACTTGCGATTCACACAAAGAAGAATGTCACGAGATACGAGTTCGACCCTATTAGCGGTCGTATGATTCCTAAGAAAGCCAAGAATCCGGATGTTGCTGAGAAAGGTGAAGGTGGGAGAAGCCCAGTTCTTTCGGCTGCGGACACTACGTCCGCCTTGGAGACTATAGGCTATATGTCTCCTCTAATCCGAGATCCAGTGGAGTCTGGCTCTCAGGATGCTTCTATTCAGGAAAAATGTAATGGTGACTTGGCGACAGACGTTGCACCAATGACGGTCGTGAAAAATCAATCGCAGAAGACCCCATCTCGCGCCGATTCGGAAACGGCTCAGACTGAGTCTACAGATTATCTCAAGTTCTCCGAGCGCTCTTCAGATTCACCGGAAGCGACTGGTAGCCCTACGGAGAGAGCAGCACGAGAGTCAGCCCAACAGGAGAACCTGTCCGAATTTCCAGATAGCGACTCGGTCAAGCCATTCTTAAGACATGATGCGCACCAAGGAGCCATACAATCGCAATCACTTCCTGAAGATCACATACCTACCCTGGAAATGGACGGTCCGGTCACCAATGATAAGCCAACTTCTTCGAATTTCGCCAAACTGGACGAGATTGGAGAGGACTTGGCAAGATCACAGAATACAAGTCGGAAACAGGAAGAAGAAGAGCTAGAGTCCTTGAGTGCAAGCGATATCCGTGCCTCATATCTGAGGAAAGAGCCAGATCTCGATGCTCGCGCATCACAAGACTCGAATGAGTCGAATGAAATGTTGAACTCCCAAACCAACACTACTGGCCAAGTCGATACAAGCATTGACCCGGGCAATGAATGTTTTCAAGAGGCAACCGACCAAGGCCTTTCATCCACAACAGAGGAATTGGTAGTCTCGGACAAGTTTCAAGATATGGCCTCAGAGACAGCAATTGCCTCGGATCAACTCGCCTTGAATGAAGTACAGGGAGCTGTGCCGTCTTCGAAATCACCCATAACTGTTCCGCACAACCTCTTTGGTCAGGTAAACGCCGAGACTTATCGCGTGCTCGCATTTGATCCCATCGCTATTAGTATAACCGAAGCAGAAACAAGCTCATCTTTCCATCCGCCAGATGAAATCTCTCACCCCGCCGAGATACTCAACCGCCTGAACAATCCTGCAAAGTTCTTACCGTACTTTGAGAAGTTGAATGACAATGGGTATGAGATTGTCTCTGGTGGTGGGGATGTTCTCGTCTTCAGAAAGACGCGAAATTCGTTTGAGCAGATCGAAGGAGCCAATGCCGACCCTAAGAAGGGCACAACGCTGTCTTCATCAATACTTAATGACCAGCAGCAGCACGAACAAAACCCTGACATTGTACTTCAAGGATCACAAAGCACCACATCTGGGACCGGGGAAAAGGCCTCGCAAGGAAGTAAGTCCGCGAAATTCCTCCGCAGAATGCTTCTTGGTGGCGTGGCTACTGCTGGAACTTGCTACGCGCTAGGCGTTGTCACTGAGTATTTCCGCACTGGTGGAGAGGACGGGCGTGGAATCGATGCCTTTACAGCATTCGAGTCCGAACGCCGCCGTCGTGAATGACTTCCTAGTTGAATGTCTACTTGATTCTGGAACCAATTGGGCGCCACATATGGTATTAAGATTGGACGTATCTCCTCTCAATGTAATTTACAGATTGCCTCCTGCGTCAAGCCAGCCACCAATTCTTCCTACTTACTCCAACATCACGACATGTAATGGAATTCTCGAACGGACACAAGCAAAACCCCGATGGCGCACCTGCTCAAAAGACACATGACCAGTTCTTCCCAAGTCTTGTCAGAGCACCGTGCCAATTAACAAACCATGCAAATAATCAATGCACATCATTAGCACGGTAATTGTGCAATGCTGTTGTCGACGAAAGATCCAATCACAACCATGCTCATCTGTTTGAGCTGATCTGCACTAAGTTGGCTGCAATGCTGCCGCTCTCACTCAATGTCTGCATCCTGTTCGTCACTCACCTCTCCGTGCTCATCATCCTCACTTCCATACATATCCAAATCAGCATCCTGCTCGACTCTAAGCTCCGTCTCATAATCGCCGAGGTTCTCATAATCAGGATTCTGGTCCGAGGCATCAAGACTAAGCCCATCTCCATCTTCATCCTCCTCTTCATCCTCAAGGCCCCAATTGTACCTCCAGAACCAAGCGTACTCGTCCTCATCGTAATCGTTACTGCGATCCTGCCTCTTAGGCCACCGCCAAAACATCCTCTGCACCGAGCCAACCCGAGCCGTGCCACTCATCAGATACCGACAGAGCCCCGAGACCAGACGCACAGCCCCACGGAACCCCTCCCAGGTCCAGAGGTCATACTCCTGACTCACCAGGACCTGGAACACCCTGCAATCCTGGTTCAGCGCCTGCTCGATGGTCCCCTCGGTGTCGGCGCCGCGATCCAAACGGAACCATTTGATCTGCTCCAAGACCTTGCGGATCTGCCTTGTCTCGAGGCGAGTGCGCAGCGCCCTGCGATCGCCGTCCGCGTCACCGAGAAGACTCAGGGCGAGATTCTGGGCGAAGTGGGAGGGCAGGGAGGTGTACGTTTCCCCGTGGACGAAACCTTCGTGCGTGTGGGAGCGGATCTGGGAGGTCTTGAACCCCGGAGCGACCAGGCGGAGCAGGTGAAGGTGCGACCCGTGCAGGTGGAGGAGATACGCATCTTGGTCCGCAAGGCTGAAGATGTTGTTGGTTAGGTCCCGCATCTGATAGCAGAACTGTCCGACGAGGATCTCGACGGACTTCTGGAAGTGGGCGGGGACGGTGATGTGGGGGTTGTCGGTCTGCAGATGTAGGGTTAGTGTGTGGACGTTGATTTGAGGGAGCTTTGGGAGGCGGGGGGTAAAGGTGGGGTGAATCCAAAGTAGGTCGACATCCGACTGAAGAATGAGGGAACAAAACGCTATGCTTACCACTGTGATGGGAACCACATTACGGCTGAAGACGCGCTCGTTCGGATGATCCACCGTCAGGAAAGCGTGGGTTTCAGGCCCAGTATAGGTTGCCCTCCTTCTGCTGATGCTGTTCATGAAATACGCGATCCGCTTCCGGCGGTACCGAGGGCTGTATTCCTGTCAGTCACATGTCTGTTCTCTTCCTTTTCGCTTATGACAAACCAAAAGACCGGAGTGATACATACGTCAGAGACAGCCTGGACTTCCCATCGGGGGTCCTGTGAGCGATCGAGGCACCCTTCAGGATATCCTGCAGGAATGACACGATGGCACGCTGCTGCAGTCTCACGATCCGGGTGAAACGCCGCGCCTCGGTCTCGTCCAGGGGCCGATTGTCGGTAGGCAGCCCTGTGGCCTCATACCCACCGGCAAGCAGGCCCTCTTGGAGGCAAGGATTCTCAATCAAGCTCGCGAAGGTCATGCGGAATCGCAGGTCCCATTGACTCCATTTCGCGAAGTCGATGACTCCCTTCTGAGTTCGGATGGCATGCATGATCCATGGAGAGATTTTATAATCATCTGATTCGTCATTCAGCAATTATCGATCAGGCAACAGAGACTGGGGGACTTACTTGAAGCCTCTGCAAGTTCAAGGTAGCGCTGGGGAACGAAATCCTCCTCCGCATGGTTCAGCTCCGTGCGGAAGTAAGTCCTATGTATCTCGACCACAAAGTGATCTGGCAGATTCGCCGCAGGCATGAGATCTGGGACTGGAGTGGTGGTGAGTGGCTGCGCCATGTTTCTCACGGCTGTATTGGACAGGGGATGAGCGGGAGGCTTTTCGTTGTCTGCCATGGTTTGTGAGGGTGAGAGAGTGTGAGAAGATGGGTAAGGAGGAGAAGAGGAATAGGGAGAGAAAGATAAAGAGGAGAAAGACGGGGAGGGAGAGAGAGAAACACGCTCTCCTGGCCAGGTGAAGGAAATTTCTGAGAGACATGGCAATCGCCGCGGCGATGAGGTTACGTTGTCGTCTGGGTACACGCTTTGCTGGTGCGTGTTCTGTGGTGTTTTGCTGGGTGCACCGGCGAACCACAAGATGTCAGGCGGAGACAAGGCTTTGCTCTGTTGGTCCTTTGCTGGTCAGATGGTCTCAAGTTCTAAGGGCTCTTTGTGTGGTTCATACCTGGCTGTTGAATTTTATCTTCGTTATGAGTCTGAAGCAGTGTAGAGCTGTGGGATCCATCAACCGACATACAGATATTCGAGTAAAACAGATGTTTTAAATCCCATTATATCTAATCTTCAGACATACATTCTGCCTAGGGCACTGGTCATTGCTAATTGGGAGTACAAGGATAGCTAATGATGTTTATGCTGCAGCCGAAGCTTCTTGTTTCATGAACCTGGATAGAAACCGACAAATATATAGCGCTTCCAACCACCACCACTACTGCAACCCAAATGGTGTAGATAACCAGCGACCACCTACACTTCTGTTTCCAACACATCCACTTATACATAAATAAAAGAAGAAGCATCCAGCCTCAAAATAACCCCACCCGCCTTCAACAATCATCGACACTCCGATGCCCCCTCTAAAGACATGATAAGCCAAGCCAGCTCCCCCACTCACTGGATCCCTTATCTTATCGCTTATCACCGCCTCCTCATCCCCCAAGCCAAGCCACTACAGAGGTACAGTACATATAACCTCCCCTCTCCGCACTCACCTACACCTACAGCCAGTGCATTAAACCAAAGCATCCTAACAACAACCCCTCACTCCCTCACCCTCACCCTGATTACCCCCTCTACCACCCCAATCATCACCACACCAAGTATAACCAAAAATGTGGCACCCCACCCGCCGCGCAATCCACACCCGCGCCGCCCCCGCGCCACCACCCTTCCTCTCCCAAGCCATCGTCGCCAACAACACCGTCCACTGCTCCGGCCAAATCGGCGTCGACCCCGCCACCGGGGAGCTCGTGAAGGGGTCGGTCCAAGCGCGAGCTGTACGTGTTTACCGTCACACCTGTCCTGAGCCTGAGCCTACAGTGCTTCCCCGACCCAATCCCCTACCTAACTTATAATCCATATCCCCGGATACTGCGATACGGGTGGCATCCCCAAAGCCCAAGCCCAAGCCCAAGCCCAAGCCCAACCATACCCATCCCAAACAGATCCATGCTAACCGCACAACCCACCCACCCCAAACATGCTGATCAACGAACAGGAACAAATCCTCCGCAACCTCCGCGCCGTTCTCGAAGCCGCGGGCTCCAGCCTCGACGACGTGGTCAAAGTGAATATCTTCCTCACGGATATGGGGGATTTCGGGGCGGTGAATGAAGTTTATATTGGGGTTTTCGGGGGGGGGGGCCGGGTTGTGCCTGTGAGCTTTTGTTCCTTTGTTATCTAGGAGGGCTGGGCTGATGGCTAATCATATGTCTAGGCGCGTACGTGCGTGGCGGTGAAGTCGTTGCCGATGGGGACGGATGTGGAGATTGAGTGTTCGGCGGTGGTGAGGGACCTTTCTACCACCAGGGGGGCGAAGTTGTGATATTTTAACCCTAACCTGCAGTCTTGGACTGTATCTCGTTTGCTGGGTGTGGTGGCTTATATATGATGTACGGGTAGAAGAGGGAGTAGCGGTGATGGGCTGTGCTGTACATTCTATAATTCAAGTAAAAGTGATCTTTGATTGGGGTACGGTATTCGAATTTGAGGATAGTCCAGTGGCTGCGGTGGCAAGATGGGTTGCCTGGAAAATCGGATCGAGAAAATCAAGATTTTTACACCATCCGTCAAACTTAAATGGCTCCGCGGTGAACTATTCTTAGTAGCGTATGTCTGGGTGTACCTGAAGACCATGATTGAGGCAGCGCGTGTCAAACCTTCATTCTGGAGAGTTGGCGGAGCTTGCGATCTCGCTGGATTCGCTCTGCTACCTGTGTGTAGTCAGGTTGACTCTGTCGAGTAGGTAGTGTGCTGTCTCTGGATTGCTGCGTGACAACAGGTATCACAATCTTAGTAGTTTGGTCGCAGACCAAGGACTAGATCTTGATTGACTTCTTTGGGTGTCGCATTGTCATCGACCTTCTGGCAAGGCTTTGATGCCGGAGCATAAGGGTCTAATCTATCCCGGGGCCTGGCCGGGATGGGCCGTGAGAACCAGTCTGCATGATGCCCCTACCTTGTTGCCATTTGTCTCGCTGAATGTGGACTTTTGATAGTATCTCCGTGAGGTGCAACTTGTTTTCTGGGCAGTGCTGGGTGATGCTTTATGCTGTTCCATTCCGAGCACGTGACGATAATGGATACGCCGCAGGCGAGGGATCAAAGGACTCTTGGTGAGAACAGGAATAGAGAAACCATGTTTCCCTCACTGATTGAAAGAGACAAAGAGACCGCAGAGTTCTGTTGGGCGGGTAGCATGTACCTATACTTCCACGTCGTGGAAAGGTGTGATCTTGTTGCCCCATAGTCTACGGAGTAGATAAAGAATATACTCACTCCAGGTTCAGAGGAGATCTAAGGTGTAGATTGGTAACCAGGTAGGGTAAGTAGATAAATGGTACTCCGTAGACATGCGTATTTTTAATACCATCACCCGTGCTGCCGGGAAATCGACTAGGACGGAAAAGGGCACTGCACGCGCCAGAAGGAGGGGAGTTTCTCAGCCAATGTGGGCGACGCATTGGGGGGAGGAGGTGGAGCAACACGGCGGGTGGATTTCATTTGTTCAGGAACAGGAATAGTTCCGTCTCATCTTTCCTTGGGCCGCGCTGAATGGCATTTTGTCCCGTCCATGGTTGGCTTCCCACAGGGTCGCATCTGCAGATTTGAGGGAGACGACCACCTAAAGTTAGCTGCTGTGCTGTACTGTACTGCAGTCGGTATCTGTATCTTTAGCCAGGGTGAGCGAGAAGCTGAACGGAGCTCATCAACCGAGTTGGTAAGTTCGTCCGTCGACTCCGTCGTGAGTCGAAGGCCTTCCTTGTTCCCCAGGAGTCAGGCGTGACACATAAAAATAGCAACGGTAGTTGGACAAAGGTGGTACTACAATAGCTCCCCTGACTAGTCAGTTACTAGTCATCTAGTCAGTCATCGGTCCATGGTCCTCGACCGGGTTGCACGGCGATCCGAGTTCCTGAGAGCAGTTACATAGTGTTCATATACCTTATCCGAGCTTGGACGCGCCGATGATCTGCAACTGGGGGAAGGATAGAGACTTTTCGGGCCCCCCTTTATTATCCGTCTGCCATGCTTCACGGAAGCGACGAACCTTCTCGGATCCCTGACTGTCAGTGAGGAAAATCATGGATCCCTATTGGTATCGTATTGTCAGTCAATAGCAATCCCAGTCCGCTGGAATGCTGCGATGCAGAGAAATCGTAGGGATGGAAATGACGGTTGTTTCAGCACTGATGATGGCCCCAGAGGGCGTCCTCTCACTGGACCATCGCACGATCCAAACATTCCTGCCATGTTAGGGCGGAAAAATGTGGATGACGATTCATGCGCACGGGAACGCGACAGAAGAATTGACTCTGGTGTTCTGTTCTGCTCTTGATGGGACTCAGGGACGAAACGTCGAGCTGAGCTTCAGTGGCATCGCTTAAGTGTTCCGGGTACACGTGGGAGCAGCAGCACATGAATCGTGTGGATTGGCCGGAAAAGAGAGGCAGTGAGAAAATCTGGAGCCTGACGGGCAAGGCCCCTAATCATTTTCGGGCCAAGGAATCCCCCTCCCCCCGGGTCTATTGAAATGAACAATAAGTTAGTGTCGCTCGTTAGTTAGTCTAGTGGATGGAAGAATGATCTTCCCATATTCTAAATACTCAGTAGCCTGCCCTTTAGTCTATCTAGTACTGGACATATTTAAGATAGCTACCAATATGCATGCCATGTTATAGAGGAAACGCAGCTCGATCTCGGACTCCGTGCCAAATCTCTACTAGACTCGAATGAACAGACTCAGGTCTTGACTCAACGGGGTAGTTCTACCAAAGATGAGGAGGGATGGTGAGACAGCCGTCCGATTCTTTGGTGACTATCCGCTAAGCCAGATCCAGTTAGATTCCAGGCACTGCCTACGATCTCAAAGACGGGCGACTTGAAGCCAAAGCAACTCGTCTCTGTGTACGGAGTAGCTTCATCCAAAATTCTGTCCTTCGTGTCTGCTGATAGGGGACTGTGGGAAGAACTGCTCTGCTGCCGGAGACGAACCATAAAACCCAACCCAACCAGTCCTTCAAATATGTAAGTGGCCGGAAGACCCTTCCTGGGGGCAAAAACTCATGAAACAACTGTAGACGGGACAGGCAGTAATTGAGTGAGTGAGTGGCTGCAGTGTTTCCCAGACTCCTTATCTGCACGCACCGGGGCAATCCCCACCGCCACGGTCAGGAACCAACCTACCCACTTTTTACCGTCCCAGAAAAGTAGAGCCACCCACGCCGTCAGTCTAGGCCTTGTGATGGTCCGAACCTTGACGGAAACATGCCCTTTGCAGACAAGGTTGGCGTGCAAAGAGGCGGGAATTACGATGGGCACTGTACCACCGTCGATCGGCACTTGCTCCTGCGCTTTTCACCGGCCACTGTTCTGTATCACCTTACAGAATGAAGCCCCAAAGCCTCTGCCCCCCCCCGCGGCCATGCTGTGCCTTCCTTGACCTGTATCAACAGACCGTATTATTACCCGGTCCGATCGCAAATCCATTCAGAAGATCAATGGCTCCAGCCCAGCCGTTCAGTAATCTGTCTTTAATCATCAGATTCTGGGCTGGCTCTGGGCTGGCATCGTTTGCATGGGTACGGAGTACTTTGGACGAGTGGCAGTCGGCTGGAATCTGTGTTCAGTAGGGCTTGCGTGATTTCTTCCCTTTGCTGCACCCTCATGTTGCTGGCCACTCTGGGGTGGTACAGGACAACGCCGACCGGAACAATCGCTTGCATATGAAGAGCATCCTCCCTCGTCTGTCTAGGTCACTGTCGTCGAGATGATAGACTGTGATCAGTCGTCCGGGATTCGGTCAATTGCAACGCCCTCAGTACGGGCTTGTCGCCCTTGTCCCATGTCAAGGTTGATCTGGCAGACCCTACTTTGGCGATCCAAACTCAGTTCTGGAGAAGCGTATCCGAAAGTCGAGAGCTCATCACCTTCGTGTGCTTTTCGGCCGAGGATTACCGGCTATCTTGACGGTCGATGCACGTCCCAGTGGCATACGAAGCCAAAAGGGCCGTCTGCAGCAGCCACGGAGCAGTGTAGAGTACTACATACAGGAGGGCGGAAAGCACCAATTAGTCCGAGTGCTATAGTCAGTTCACTAGTGGCCCTGCTGGGTGTCAGCTGGATATGATTGCAGTAAATTACTGCATCTGCTGCAGATGGGCGTTCCCCATGTCATGACACCTTGAGGTAGATTTAGACATGGGGTCGGACCGTGGATAGCACTTCATTGATGCATCATGGCTATGGCCATACTGGAGTCGCTGAGTAGGGTCGAGAACATCTGATGCGTAACGCGACCGGTGGGAAACGGTGAACAACGGTGAACAGGCTGACAGACAGGCACGATGTATGTGGAGGAAAGAGGCTAGAATACGCGGAAATCGTCGTCATTGACCTGAATGACTGGAGCCAGCCCGGTAATAATCGCCGGGTGGAGAATCTGGGAGAGTGGGAGAGTGGGAGAGTGGGAGAGTGTCCCACTTTTTGTGCCGAGTGCGTGGGAATAAGACTAGGCGGATTAAGCAACACTGGGCTTATTTCCACAGCCTACTGTTTTTTTTTTCTCTTGCCCTTTCTTTCATCTCGGGTCCCCCCTTTTACAGCCGTACCTATTCCTACTCATACTATCACTACTCTGGTAAGTCTAAAGACTAGACAATGACACGGACGGGCCCCAACAAGACTAAACCGCCTCCTCCAAATTAATCTCCCCTTCTCTCCTCTTTTTCCTTTCACTCATTTACTTCCATTCCTAGTATCGATTAGTTGTTCGTCTTTTTTGGATTTGATTTTCTTTACCAAACCCCCCGTCATTCTTTACTTTCTATTTACCCTCTCTCTCTCTCTCTCTCTTTCACTCTCACTCTCACTTACACTCTCTCAGTTCTGTTCTGCTTTTTTCCTCCTTCTATTCTTCATGCTTGGCTATTGTCGATGCCTGCGTTGACGTAGTCACTCACCATCTCGGTACGTTCTCTCCTGCCGCCGTCTACGCAGGAAGGCAGGAGGGTTGGGGGCTGCTTTTGACAATTCATCGCCCGTCTTACCCTCCTCAGTCTCTCTCGCTCTCTAACTCACTCTGATTCGGACTCTCCTCCCTGCTCCTCCTTGCATCTTCCCACCCCCTCCTCCTCCCCTAACCCCCCCTCCTCTTCTTCCCATCTTCTCCCACGGTCGCGCGCGCCGCTTCAGGTACCACCAAACAGACCAATCCACCGCCGCCCAATCGAACCAAAACAACTCCACCATCCAGTCCCATACAGTCAATCAACCACCGCCTGCCACCACCTCCCACCACCTCCCACCTATCCCTTCAACGATCGCTTTTCTTACTTGTCTATTCTAATCTAGATTTCTCTTGTCGCTCGCTCCTTGTCGCATCCACATTCGTTATCGTCTTGTCTGTCGCGAGACTCTTAAGGGGATTTTGTTGGTTGTTCGTTTCGTACGACCACGCCCCCTGCCGCTCCTTGAGACCGCTTTTGTTTATCACGAACTGCCACTATTTTCGCACACACAACCAGTCCCGGCTCGTTGCTATCGTGAAAGTACACCGGAGAATTTGCCGTGTTCCTGCTGATCGAGCCGTTCCTGCACCTGAACAGTCTTGGCAGGAGTTGCGACTGCGTCCCAGCCATCTGCAGATACCCAATAGCGACATAACCAACGCCCGTTAATTGCCGAAAGCCGCCTGGTCTTGACGATTGGAAAGTGGAGGAGTGAACTGCAGGAAGGTCAAAAAGGATAGTCCGCACAGTTCAAGTATCGTTTGTCGCCGCCAGCCAGCCACCGAATCAATGTATCTGCGATATCAACGATTGACACTCGATATCAACGCTTGAATACTCTTCTAACCGGATTGGAGGCCGCATTGTCCATCGGGTCCTCGCTCTGTCCGTTCCTCCGCATCGGTACGGTCCTCGAGACCCTTAAATCGCTCTTTTTTTACGCTTGTTATCCACCCACGCTCCTTTCAATTTCAACATGGTTTCTCCGACAAGATCCCTGCTGCTCGCGCTTCTGACGCTGAGTGGTCTGGATATCACCGCAGCTGAGAGCGCAGCCGAGGCGCAAGACTTGCGGGCTCGGCACTACCTTGAGGGTCGCGCAGTGAGCTCGTCTGCGATCGCGTCCCCGGCTACCGCCTCTGCCACATCAACAGTCGAGACCAGCATCGCTAGCTCGACGACAGATGCGGCAAATTCCGACATCGTATCAGTCGAAGGCTCCCCCGTGGTGGTGGTTGTGCCAGTAACCCTCTCAGTGGACGCGTATGGCGTTACCCACACCATCGTTGGCACGCAACCATATATCCCTGGGGCTTCCACGAGCTATAGTGCGACAGCAAAGACTGCAGAGAAGGCGTCGCCCCCGCCAGTTGTTCCTGCATCAGCTACTACCACTGCTAGCGTTAGCACAACAAGCTCGACTACCGCAAGCGAGACCACTACATCCCAATCTGCGGTGCGAGCCGACACAACCAGCCCTGTTGCACCGGCTACATCGGAATCTGCCGCGAAGGTCGACCCCACCACGTCTGAGAAGTCTTCGGCTTCGGATTCCGCCGTGAAGGTAGACGCCACCACGTCCGAGAAAGCATCTACTTCGGAATCCGCTGTGAAGGTAGCCACAACCACGCCCGTCAAGTCATCTACATCCGACTCCGCCGTCAAAGTGGACACCACGACTTCCGACAAGCCATCTTCTACGTCCGAGTCTGCTGCAAAGGTAGATACCTCGTCTTCAGCCGTTGCTGCTGCGACTACTACCACCGGCGATTCTCTTGGCGGCTCACTTGAGAGCTTTGTATCAAGCTTGCTCGCGGGCTCCACGACTGCTCCCACCAGCGTTGGTAACGGCGCTGCCACGGCTAGCTCTGCTGCGGTGGTCCCGGAGTCCAGCACTTCTACTCCTGCTGGAAGCTCTACTGGGATCATTGGCGTTCTTTCGAGCCAGACCTCTTCCACCGAGAGCTCTGGCACCGAGAGTTCTACGGCGTCTCCCTCAGCTTCCCAAACCTCAGTTACCTCAGCTGTTCAGACTCCTGCATCCCAGAGTTCTGCCACTTCTACCCCCGCGGCAAGCTCTGCGGGGATAATCGGCGTTATTTCGAGCCAGAGCTCTGCCACTGAGAGCTCTACTACTGAGAGTTCTACGGTTTCTCCCTCTGCTACCCAAAGCTCGGTTGTCAGTACTGTTTCTCAGAATTCCGCCACCTCGATTCCTGCCGCAAGCTCTGCCGGTGTTGTTGGCCTTATCTCGAGCCAAACTTCCACCGAGACGTCTACTGGAAGCTCAACTGTTTCTCCTTCTACTATCGAGAGCTCGTCTGTCCCGTCTTCCGCTGCCCAGAGCTCCGTCACGTCTACTCCCGTGGCAAGCTCTGCTGGTGTAATTGGCCTCATCTCAAGCCAGGGCTCTTCTACCGAGAGCTCTACCACTGAGAGCTCGACTGCGTCCCCTTCTGCTGCTCAGAGCTCAGCTTCCCAGACTTCTACCAAGCCGACCGCTAGCTCCGGAGTGATTGGCACTGTTTCGAGCCAGAGTTCTTCAGCCGAGAGCTCTGTCATTGGAAGCACAGCTGTTGCGCCCTCTACTACCCAGAGCTCTGTTGAGACCACTGCCACTCAAGCCTCCTCTGTGGCATCCAACTCTGCTTCTCAACCCGCTTCCAGCCAAGCTTCCACTGCCACCAGCAATGCTGCTCAGACTACTGAGGCGGCCTCTTCCAAGGCCATCATCTCTGCATCCCAGGACGCCGCCTCTACTACTACTCCTGGCGCATCGGGTCTGGTGGGTATCCTGTCAAGCCTGTTGTCAGGCACCACCTCTGCTGAAGTGCCATCGTCAGCTACTGCATCTGGCTCGGCTACTGTACCCGTTTCCACCGCGTCAGGCTCTGTCACTGCCTCTGAATCTGCCGTTGCCCCGACTTCGACCGCTTTGGCGGGTTCGACAACTGTTTCCGGCTCGGTGATTGCTTCCGAATCCGCCATCTCATCTGGTTCCGCGACTGTGTCTGGCTCAGCTCCTGCGGCTGCTTCGACCGTGTCTGGATCTGCCACCGTTTCGGGCTCGATCCCTGCTACGGAATCTGCCTTCGTATCCGCATCGGCTGCCCCCTCTAGCTCGGTTCCTGGCTTGGTCATTTCGTCTGAATCTGCCGCATCTGGTGCCGTCACTACGTCTGCTCCTGCCTCTGACTCGGTCACGGCATCTGCGCCAGTTGTCGTCGCGGGATCGAGCTCGGTGACTGCCACGAGTGCCAGCGCCTCTGTGGAGCCAGCACTCCTCAGTTTGAGCATGAGCTTGCCCACCATTCCTGTCAGTGTTCCTTTGGTCACTCCCACTTCTTCGTTGGGATCGTCTGGGATCCCTATCCCTGCGTTGCTTAGCACCGCATCGGATCTGACATCGGTGGCCTCTGCCGTCCCCACCAGCGGTGCTGTGGGTCTTAGCAGTACCGGCTTGGACCTGACATCCGGCGCTTCCATCGTTCCGACCAGCGGTGCTATGGGCTTGAGCAGCACGGTTCCAGGGGCTACTTCTGATGCCTCCAGCGCTGCAATTGGCCTGGGGCCCACTGCGACCACATCCACGGCTCTCATCGCTCCCTCCAGTGAGACTCAGAGCTTCGCACCTGGCGCCTCGACCCCTGTTATCAGTGGCAGTGTCGCTCCCACCAGTGCTGCTATTGTGCCTACTCTCTCTGACAGCACCTCTGGCGCAGCCTCTACCCCCATCTCTGCTTCTGAGACAACATTCGAGTCGGGATCTCCATCGGGAACTGCTTCCGAGTCTGCCTCTTCCGCTGCGTCTGCCACTTCAACTGCTCTGATCGCTACCAAGACCACGGAAGCTTCGGGCTCAGTCTCCGCAGCCCCGACTGTCGTTCCCACCATTGCCCCGACTGTTGCCCCCTCCGTGTACTCTAGCACCAGCACCAGCACCAGTGCGACAATTCCCTTGACTACTGAGCAGCCAACGACCACTAAGGCTGTTGCTGAGACCACCACTGCGCAAGCCCTCACATCCAGCACAGCGAACGCAGATGATTGGATGCCATCCAGCATTCTCATTGTCGGAACCACGACTACTACGACTGAGCCCACGGGCACTGCCACCAAAGCTGCCACCACCACGACAGCTGCTGCGCAGCTTCCTGGCTCAATCTCTCCGGCTGGAGGCATTCCCAACGAACCCAAGAACTCGACCTTGATCCAGATCGGATTCAATGGCAAGCTTCGGTACAGTTTCGTGGCCACGACTCCCTTGTCTTCGTCGCAGATCTTCACGTACGTTCCCCAGGGTCTCGAGTACGCCCTGTCGGCCAACGGCAGCGATGTCGTGATGTACGACATTCAGCCGTATGACAACTCGGCCAGCACTGGGTACATCGCCACTGTTGCTTTGGCTTACATCCCGTCGGGTGACGTGGACACCCTGTCGCAAATGCTTCACAACCCGATCTCCAAACTGTATGAGCAGCCCAATCAGACCGTCAAGACATTGATGTCGATGATCGATCCCTCGATTCCCCTGATTGTTAGCGCCGGGTCGTCGTCCGGTGGCGGCTCATCGGGGAGCAGTGGATCCGGCAGCAACAAGGGTAGCGATGATGGAGGGTATGACCAGTCGGATGCCGGTACGAGCAGCACGGGCACCACCAAGGCCAGCGCCGTTGGCATTGGTGTCGGCGCTGTTGCCGGTGCTGCCGCCTATGGTGCTGGTATGTTCTGGGTGGCTCGTCGGTACCGCAAGAAGCGTCAACTGCACCAGCGCAGCCCCTCGGCCGTGGATCAGATGAGCGAGGGCCGCGGATCCGCTGCCCTTGCTGCCGGGGGTCGCATCTCCCGTGGCAGCCAGAACAGCCGTGGCACTGGTCGGACACAAATGATCAGTGCGCCTGTCATGGCTGAAAATTCACTTGGATGGAACTAGACTAGGGCCTCTGGTCGATTTGTTTTGATTGCGAGGTGTGTTCCATGATAGACTGGGGAAACAAGACCAAAAGAAAGAAACAAGGAGGAGAAAACGGAGACAGGAAACCGTCGGTCGGGAGGACGGATGAGAGCGACTCTCGAAACCGCGCTTGACATTTATCAACTCTCTCATCTAATCTTTTCTTCTTATTCCCCATATGTTTGTGCTTTGTGTTTTATCATATACCTTTCTTACCCTCCTGGTGATGATGGCGGCGGCCTGCTTCCATCACCGCCATACTCGCCCGCCCTTTCTCTTCTCTGGCTCCCTTGTGGGGGAGCGTCACTGTTGTCTGTATGGCCGGGGGGTATGGCAGGTATATCGTGACGAATAACGCCATCTATACTTTACTACTACCCCAGCCACCTTTTGTGTCTCATTTTGTTTCCGATTGAGTTGTTCATATGTACAGATGTATATTTCCCGTCCGTATCTACTAGAGTCCGAAACCGGCCGGCTTGTCGGCTTGATTCCCAATATGATGTTCATACTTGACCTTGAAGAGTGCATGCTGTAGCAGACCCAAGACCCAAGACCCACCAGGGAAACAAGGATGAGAGAGAGCCAAGATGAATGCCAAGTCGATTCCCCTCTTTTCTGCAGCAGGAATGACCCCCATGTCGAATAATATCACCCGTCATCATGCCTGCATCACGCGTGGAAAAATGACTCCGCACTTGAGTCGGAGTTGCACCGGACTAGGGTTGGCGATGGTTCCACCTATGAGTGATCTTGTCGGACATGGAGTTTTCATCTCCGATTGCGGTGTGATTCGTGGCAACGATGGAGAGAGATCCAGCATATCCAGCATGGTTTCGGAGGAGACTACCGAATATGTCAAGTTGCTGCAGGTTAAGCTTGACTTAGTTATGTAGTATGTATGTAGTATGGAGTATGTAGTGGAGGTTGATGTAGACTGGGTATGGTGAGTAGAAAGTAGGGACCTCGGTCTCTACCATCGACTTACTCAATGGCTCAATTGTAGCGCCTATAAAAACGCCTGATCTCCTTTGCGGGGACAGCAAGGCAGCCATAGACAGAGACAGAGACAGAGAGAGAGAGAGAGAGAGAGATAGATAGAAACGAGACAGGGAATCTTCTTTCCTGATCCTTGGTATGACAATGGCCCGTCTAACCACCACCACCACGACCGGAACCCACTGGCTCCCAGCCCTCACCACTCTTCTTCTCCTTGTCGCAACCTCCTCAACATCTGCCCTCCCCAACAACGCTTCCCCTTCCTCCTCGTCAGTTGCTGCTACCTCTTCCACTGCTGTTGTTGCATCTTCATCCTCCCCACCAACCGTAATCCTCCCCCCCTCTCCCTCCACCCCCGAAGACCCATCCACCATCTTCATCGGCCGCTCCCTCCCCGAATTCTCCCAGGACCTCTTCCTCGGCATCAAGTACGCCGACCAGCCCACGCGCTTCACCCCGGCCACCCTCAAGACCCGCTACCGCGCCAGTGACAGCGACAGCGAGGCGTCCACCTCCCCCGAAGACACCTCGGACGATGACGATGACGATGACGATGACGATGGGCAGACAGTCCACTACAACGCAACCCAATACGGCAACGACTGCCCCGGCTACGGCAGCGACGAGACCACCCTCGTGGACGCCGGGTACACGCGCCTGAGCGAGGACTGCATGAATCTGAATGTGATTCGACCTGCCGCTGTCACCGGGACGGAGGAGTTGCTCCCCGTCATGGTGTGGATCTTTGGGGGTGGGTGGATTCAGGGCGCGACGAGTGATCCGAGGTTTGTTTTGCCTTGTTCTTCTCGATAGTCAAGAGGGGAAGGTGTGGGTGTGGGAGAGAGGGCTGACTGACTGGTGATGAAACGGGGGTGGGGGTTTGAGGACTGGCGAACTGACGATGAATCTGAAGGTATAACATGAGTTACATCCTGCTTCAAGGCGCACTCAACGACAAACCGGTGATTGGCGTGTCGATCAACTATCGGGTCGCTGCGTTTGGGTTTTTGGATTCGAAGGAGGTTATGGTTCGTTTCACCCTTCCTTTACTTTCTGATTTGGGGATTAAGAGAGGGGGGATTGATGGGAGTGTTGTGCTGATTCGGAGGTACAGGAATCTGGAAATACGAATCTGGGGCTGCGGGATCAACGCGTGGCCTTGCGGTGGGTGAAAGAGAATATTCGGGCTTTTGGGGGCGATCCGGACAGAATCACGATCTGGGGGGAGTCTGCGTGAGTTTTTGTCCTTCTTGGTGGTAGCTACACAGGCTGATGGCAGGGGCAGAGGGGCTTATAGTGTTGGGGCGCATCTGGTGACGAATGATGGGGATAATGAGGGGCTGTTCAGGGCTGGTGAGTTGATCCTATTCTCCCACCGGTTGGACAGGGCTTATGTGTGCGTGTGCGACAGCGATTATGGAATCGGGCAATGCAGTCGGTCCCCCCTGGAACGGCACGGACTGGTATCAACCCATGTATGACCAGATTGTGAATAAGACAAAGTATGTGCCCTAGATGCAGTGCCTTGCTGCGTTCACTTCCTGACAAAACAGCTGCACCACCGCCTCCGACACCCTGCAGTGTCTCCGCGAGGTCCCCTTCGAGACCTTCTATCCCCTCGCCTACAACGGGCTCGAATGGTTCGGCACCATCGACGGCACCTTCATCAAGGAGAAGCCCCAGATCAGCATCACCGAAGGCCGCTTCGCCAAGGTGCCCATCCTGCACGGGACCAACACGGACGAGGGCACGAGCTTCGGCACCACGGGGACGAACACGGACGAGGAGTGTATCGAGCAGTTGATCGGTGGGTCTCCTATCATCCCTATATCGTAAGGCGTCTAGTCTAACTGCGGCAAGCCTCCAAACGCTGGGTCCTCGACCGCGACCAAGCGACGCATCTACTCGGCCTCTACCCGAATATCTCGGCCCTGGGCTGCCCCTACGGCTGGGGTAACGTCACCTGGCCGTCCCGCGGGTACGAGTACAAGCGGTACGAGTCGATGGCGGGCGATCTGTGCATGGTCGCGCCGCGGCGGCTGCTGGGCACGCAGATGGCGCGGTACGAGACGGAGGTGTATGCGTACCGGTGGGATGTGGCGGCGTTGAACGAGACGAGCGTGATTGGCGTGCAGCATTTTGCGGAGGTAGCCCAGTCCTTGTTATGCCCAAAGCATCCCCCCCCCAAACACGGACGAAACACTTGCTAAGATGATTAGATCCCCTTCGTCTTCGCCAACCCGAACCAAACCATCACCCCTCTGGGCTCCGACCCCGCGCGTCTGGCCCTGGGCAATCTGGCCGCGAGGATGTGGACGGCGTTTGTGACGGATTTGAATCCGAACGGGCATGGCGGTATGTATCCCCCGCTGTCTTATATGAATGAGTGGTTGAGAAGGGGTTGGCTGATTTTTGGGGGGGGGGAGCCACAGTCGACGGGATCCCCCAGTGGCCGCGCTATACGCCGTCGGACGGGCCGTCCAACTTCGTCTTCCGGTTGCCGCGGACGGAGAGTTATGTCGAGGCGGATACGTATCGGGCGGAGGGGATCGAGTATATCAACTCGATTGCACGGTAGTTTTGTTCGTGGTGCGTAAGTGAGCTGGACTGGGTGGTTGATATGGTATGTGCGTTGTCGATGGATGGTGCGGAAGGAGTGTCATGCTATAATGGGTATACATACGTGGTGTAGTGAGCATGCTATAACGGGGTATTTAAGCGATCTACCCACTGGCATGAAGTATACGAAGATGGGCTTCTGAAGATCAATCTCCAGATCACGTATATCCAACCACTAAGTTTAGTCTACGTTACTCCGCATCTCCAATACCCCTTCCACTACTCCGATCCCAGTCATACACGATGGCTAGGTAGCTAATGATTACATTGCTTTAGTTTGTCATTTCCAGATTCCAGGAGATTCCAGAAAAAGAGGACCCAACATAAAGAGAAAATTTTCTGTATTTGCATAAAACTTCCCACCCCTCAACGAAAATCCAATTTAGTTGATAGAGAGAAGCTTGACCTTGCTATGTCCCCAAAAAGATTAGCACCGTTCCCTGCTCCCTCAAAAAAACCAACCCTCTCAAAACAAAACCAAGCCCAAGAAGGACGGAGGGTACTCACAAAACAAGAGTCGAGTTAGCAGGGATCAACCCGGGGAAGCCACGGGCTCCGTAGCCGTAGTCACTGTCAATCGTTAGTGTTTTCAACTTGGAACTAGATCGATGGTCCCTCCGCCATCTCATTACTTCGCTAGAAGGGCAAAGGCACAGGTGAGGGCAAAGGTAAGGGCAAAGGGCGACGACATACGGCGAAATAGTCAAGACGGCCTCCTCGCCGACGTTCATGGTGGGGACGCCCTCGTCCCAGCCCTTGATGACCTGGCCCACGCCGATCTGGACCTTGAAGGGGCCGCGGCCGGGGTTGAGGGAGCTGTCGAATCTATTTCTAAGTTAGGATTTGGTTTCAGGATGGGGAATCGGATCGGATCGGATCGAAATCGGGAATGTTCATTTTTAAAAGTATAGGGGGAAAGTGGGAGAGCGAGGTAGCTAGCTAGCTAGCTCTTCTGCTATGCTATTTTTTCCATGTCCCGGGAGGGGGGTTGGGATGGGAGGTAGTAGTTTTCTGCGGCTGAGCCACGGACGGAAGATGTAGGTAGGGAATGAATGCTCAGGGCAGGCAAGATAAAGGTAAAAGGCAAAGGGAACGGCAACGGGGAAAAAACGCAACTTGTCGCCCATGTTGTTCTCGGCGCCCTCCTTGTACAGGCATCCGGTGTAGTGGATGGAGACGTAGTCGCCCTTGACGGGCTTCTGGTCGGAGGTACCGGGGGTGAGGATGGTCTTGGTGACGCCCATTTTGGATGGATTATTTGGGGGATTGGTTTCGGAGAGGGTGGTAGTGTAGTGTAGTGTAGTGTAGTTTGTGGCGGGGTTGAGAGAGGGAGAGTGAAAAGAAAGAAACTTGGGAAAGGAAGAAAAAAAGAAGGTTAGGTTAGTTTAAAGGTTTCCTTCCCCCAAAGCAAAGCCGAAGTGGGGGGGGGGGGGACGGCGGCGGGGGTTAATTATAGTCTACTCATACTCTGGAACATCAGATACTGGAGGACGCAACTACTCAACTCAACTAGAGTTTGGGATGAATCATGTTTGCACAGTACGTAACTACCTAGTCAATGTTTGGGGGGTTTGGGGGGTGGAAAACACCGCGTTTAGCGTTTGGATAGATCAATTTCATTATCATTTGTTTTCTCCAATCTTTGATGATGCTGCCCCTCCCTCAATCTAGACCGCGTTTGTTGTGGGTTTCGCTTGGCGCGGCAGGTTCTTTTTTTTTTTTTTCTGGTCGTCTGTGTTTGGCGCGGTTGGAGATTCTCGTGCTACAATCACAGTTGAGGTTTGGTTACTTGTAAACTATGGAGGAATATTATAATTGATATGAATCGTGTCGAACGTGCTTGGGATCTCTTATTGGGTGGAGGGGGGAACGGGACAGATCGTCGGGACGCTTCCTCTCTTCTCGGGGCTCTGCTTCTGCCGCCTGTGCCGCATTTGCCATTGCCGTTGCCAGTTGATGTCATTTGTCCTGGATGTGTTTGCTTGGATGTCTTTGTATGTGATATCTGGGTGATTGGACTAGTCGACCCCAACTGTCTCGGATTGATAGATAGATAGATAGATAGATAGATAGGTTGATTGATTGATATAGTATGCATATACTCTGCCAGAAAATAAGTACCGTGCAGATAGCCCTCCATGTATCACAAAAAGCAAATCCCCTGCATGCTCCGAGCTCTTCCCATGCAGACCCCAAAATCAGGCTGCAGTAGCGTTGGCCCCCCAAAACGGCAACTTCTTCATCTCTGCCACAGACATGCCCCGAACGCGCGTGCGAGGGAACCGCGGATCAACGACCCCGTCGTCTTGATCGGATAACGCCAGATAATGCACCGTCGTGATGCCCACGGCCTCGAGCCACGGCAGCACGCGGTGGTAGTTCAGCCCTACCTGGTCCAGCCCGTGGCTGTCGTCCGAGAGCACGAAGCGGCCGCCGAGGGCGAGGAATTCCTGTTGCGGTGCATGCATTAGCCCCAAGCATCATACCCCTCCAGCTACAAACACAACCCCCTCCCCAATTCCAGTCTGATAAGAAAGAAAGAAAGAAAGGAAAAACTCACCCGACAAACCTCCCCCATCGGATACGGCTCGCGCATCCCCTTCCGCAACGCCGCCGAATTTACCTCCAGCAGACCCCCGTAGCCCGCCACGAACGCCAGGTTGCGGCGCACCTTCGCCCAGACCCCATCTTCGTGGAGACCCCACCGCCGCAGACTCCCATCGGGCTCGTCGCTCTTCAACCGGATCAGATCGAAGTGCCCGACGACCAGCGGCCGCACCTGCCGCAGCATCGCCAGCTGCTCGTCGAAGTAGGCCGCGAACAGGCGCTCGTCGGAGCCGCCGGCGGCGGCGCGGGCCTGCTCGTACATGGCGCGGTCGTAGTCGATGGGCACGGTGCAGGTGTGGTGGATCGAGCCCATGAAGAAGTCGAAGGGGTGGGCGGCCAGGGACTGCTGGATCAGGGCGAGGGAGCCCGGTTCGCGGATCCAGTCGATCTCGAAGCCGATGAGGATGTTAATTCCTGCCGCGCTGTACTTGGTGCGTAGGCGCGTGGCTTCGGCGTAGTAGGCTTTTTCGTTGGCGAGGTGGCTTTCTTCGGTGTTGCCGGCTTCGATCTTGGGGGGGGGGGGTTTCTTCAGTTGGGGTAGAATTGGGGGAGAAGGGGTTGAGGCAGACCTCTTCAGGGTAAAAGTCCTCCTGGTGTCGGGGCATGTGCTCGGTTAGACAGAAGGTGTGGAAGCGTTTCTGGATGGCTAGTTGGATGATCTCCTCCAAGGAGTCTTTGGCGTGGCCGGGGCAGAATTGCCCTGAGTGGCTGTGGTGGGAGAAGGGCATCTTTCGGCATTGATTAGTTTGGGGTTTGTATGTGGTGATGGCATGGTGTTTGGGCGATTATCGGGGATGATAAAGAAGATGATGATGGTGATGCTCACGATGACTGCTTACCCCGCGATGAGGAGGGGTAGTTGTGACTTCTAAGTTGATGTTGTAAAATTGGTCTTTCTAAACATGAAGAAGAATATCCAACTTCATTCGGTATATGCAAGGTGGTTCGACCGTTGCACACCGTACTGTACAAGAGTATGTATAGTCGGGGTGGATTGCGGAGGTCGAGATTCCTACTCTCTTTTTATGGGGCCCGAATCAAGCAATCATCAGCCGGGCCCGGAGCACGCTGCTACTTGCTGTCTACCTCACTCTCACGGGCTTGCCTAGGTAAAAATTCTTATCGCATATGACTAGCTATACAGGGGTTCAATGGCATATACATGTATTTGTTGCTCTCATCATCCATCTCGATGATTATCGCCTCGCCTGAGGCTCCAAGAGCAAGAACCTAATACCGTGCCTTAACTTATAGACAGCAACAACCCAGCCCTCCCTCATCTTCAATCTCAACCACCCCATCCTGATACCTTTAACCTAACCCCCAGTCCATCACAGTCCAGCACAGCATAGCACATCTAACCCACAAGCCACAGCATGCCCCCGTCTTGCAATATCCATTACCCATTAAATCCCTCCTCCACCCCCATAAACCATAACAGTACTCCGTGCACCCAAGACACCCAAACGCCATAACCAACCCCCCCGCGCCAGAAAAAACTTCACCCCGCCGCCAAAACCATCGCAACCACATACTCCCCATCATGCGAAATCGACAACTTGCCCACCCTGCCCCCACCCTCACCTTTCTGCCCATCCCCATCGCCCCCCAACCCATCCAGAAACACCACCTCCGGCCGCCCCTCATCGACCTCACTCACCCGCACAACCACCTCCTTCCACCCGAGCTGCGCGGCGCCCCGCGGCGCCGCCTTCCGCGCGGCCTCCTTGGCGGCGAACCGCCCCGCGAGCCAGCGGGTCATGTCCGGGGTGATCGTCACGGGGGATAGCGAAGATGAAGGATGGGGTTGGGGTTTGGGCTGCACTTGGGATTGGGACTGGGGTTGGAATTTTGCTTGGGGCTGGGGATTGTGTACATGTAGAGGTACCAGGGAGGGGGACAGCTGGAAGCGCGCGCGGAAGTCGGCGTGTTCGCGGGGGTGCAGGATGCGGCGGGTGAAGCGGGCGAGGTAGGTGCCGTTCTGGCGGGTGAGGAGGCGGGCGATGCGGGGGAGGTGGACGATGTCGGTGCCGATGTTGAGGGCGAGGGGGAAGGGGGTGGGGGGTTTCATTTTCGTAGTCTGCGGAGTCGTGGGGTGGGAGGTGTGTATGGTGTGGGTGGGTGGGTGGGTTTGTTGATGGTGGTGTGAGGTGATGGTAGAGAAATTGAGGATGGGAGGGAGGGAGGGTCGGGTCAGGTGACTGGTTTTGGTTGGGATTGGGTGTTTATTGAGGATATCTAGTTGGGGACTGACGGGTGTAGACACGTCAGGTAATTCAATTGATCTGTTGAATGATCTGTAAAAGTTGAAAGTTGGAGGTGTGTTTTCTAGTTGGAGCTGTTCGTGTCATCAAGCTCGATATGCCTTTGACCTGGAATTGTCCTACATGTTATCAGTTAAAAATCGCCATTGCTACCTGGCTTTACAACTCATACGACCAATCTACTGTCCAAAACAACTCCAGACCAATTGAAGCAAGCATGGTGTATACTCTATATGTACAGATTGACACCTGACCCTCAGAAGTCAACCCGGTCAGACGTTTCAAAGCGTCAAAGGCATGGCCCAACTCGGCCACGTTGCATCTGGGTCTAGCACCGGTGTATAATCGACTCGACTGGATCTTGCACGTCAGGCACATTAGATTCAACTAGTCCTCGACTCTAGCATGGGATACATCGGCTTTAATGATCCTTCTTCTTGTCGTCTCCGTTCACCTGCTTCAGGAAGTCCCTGTAGCCAATTCGTTAGCTCGAGCGCGGTTGCGGTAGTTGGGTGCACCCTGTATCTGAATTGCAGGCCCCTAGCTGATCAAGCAGCTGAGGGCTGACAGGGAGTGGCATCCAGCCCTTCGCGAGTATCTTTCACAAGTCGCTGCCTAGGCCGCTTTTCCGCAGCTCAAGCAGCTGAAGTTGCATCCGATAGTCTTGAAGGGCCGCCATTTCGAGAATGGGAGTATGTGTGCATTGTGCCTGCTTAGGGGCTTCGGCAACGTACGTGATGAATTCCTCCTCGTCCTTAGAGGAAGCCTGGATAGGAGGAGTAGCGGGCTTGGGCTGGCTGCCACCGCCCATGGCAAGCTTGACACCACCGAAGAGGGCACCGAGAACACCCATGGCGAGCTAGAGAGCGTGTCTCCGTTAGTCATTGATCCTCATAACGCAGGTCAGACACCGTCCATCCCACAACGCCTGGACAGAAATTGGCCTCGGACGACAGGGAGGGCCGGGCAGAGGTCGGGTGCGAGTAACCGTCGCAGCGGAGTACGTACATAGTGAGAGCCGACCTTCTTGCCGGCGATCTGGTAGTAGACGACCATGGTGACGGATTGGAGAGGGAGGGAATTGGATGGAGTTTGGCGGAGCAGCGGTGCGGTGATAGGTTCCTGCGCGAATAAGTCGAACGGACGGCAGCGGAGGAAGTTGCGGCTGTTGGTTCTTCCCCGATTGGGCATGGTAGGCTGACTCAGTAATGAGTCAGCAGCGGACTGCCGCCCCGCTGAGTCAGAGCTGCGTCAGCAGCTCCAGCTGTGCTTCTTCACGTGACCTACAGCTTCCTCCGGGATCGTCCGACGGCGGATGACGTTCGGGAAGCAATCACGGGATATCAGCTGATCTGACACTGTCTGTATGGGCCGATGATGTCCTCATGCTCTCCTCAACAATAATTCCATTTATTATAAGACGATCCAAATCGGTCATCTACAATTGGACTAATCCATCAATGTGATGGTCAGAGTCACCAACAGTACACACAATAGCTTAACCTCATCAGAGCCAACACAACCCTAAGCCGTTGACCAACGCAGCGTGCATCTGCCAGCCATGAGGTCACTACTTGGACTGTAAGTGATTGTGGCGGTGTTTCATGCCCAGCAAAGCTGCTGCTGGCTTCCTGTTTCCCGACAGACCTCGGGGCGAGAAAGCAAGACACGGAGAGCCTCCATTCTAGCTATGACGGGCAAGATTTACCCCGGCTATTGCATGGAATGATCTGTTGGGGGCAGCTGCCCCTTCTTCTACTTTTTTTTGGTTGCTTCGATCTTCTTCTTCTTCTTCTTCTCTTCGTACATTCCTCCCTCACTTCTTTTTCTCTCAGCCTTTCTCTCTTTTGTGTAATTCAATTTCACTCTTCCTCCCTTCATTACACTGCATACACCCCTTGCAACCTTCTGTCTCTACACCATATAATCCTCAGTAAGTCAATATTCCTCCCATCTTCCCAGTCAGGACACCTCACTTATTCATCACTCAGCTTCCGGAACTCCCCACGCGACCGCATCATGATTTGGGGGAAACAGCAAGACAAAGCGCCCGAGGTGGTACAGCAACCCATCCCGCGCGAAAAGCTGCCGGATCAGCTTCAGAAGCTTGTTGACCACGACGATGGCTTCTACGATGACATTTATTCCTCCTAGTATGTCGTTCCCTGTTTCCTGGGGCCGTTGCGACGCACCGTCCCTCGCCCGACCACCTCCGCGTCTCCCCGCATTCTTCCCCGCAAGCGCCGGACTGCAACTGTCCGCTAGTCGGTGCGATCATCCCGACGCCAGCCCAGGCAGCAGCAACCATCAATTTAATACGCGGAAAAATTATTGGGATCAATCTAACCCATCGCCAGCTCTGTTGACTCCACGGAAACTCCCTACCGATATGCCGGTTACGCTACTCGTCTTCGCACGATTCTGCTCTCCGCCCACCGCTATGTCGCCTACACCTCTGACATCGGCGAATCCTTCCGCCCCGTCGCGCACCCGTGGCTCGTGCGCTCCGCCTATGGTATTTCATGGACGTATTTGATCGGCGACGTCGCGCACGAAGGATACAAGGCCTACCTGCGCAACCGCAGCCTGCTCGCCCCGCCATGTGAGGCCTACAAAGATGCCAGCGACCTCTCTCCTGAACAAGTCGCCAAAGGCATGGTGACCGGCAACCTGACCAAGCCTCTCACCTCGACATCGACCGACACGCTCACTCCCTGGCCCACCACCGAGATTCCCCTCATCGAGGACTATCGCATGGTGATGGCCAAGCGCGCCGTGTTCCAAAGTATAGCCAGTATGGGTCTGCCGGCCTTTACCATTCATTCCGTCGTGAAATACTCGGGCCGGGTGTTCAAGAAATCCTCGAACACCTTCCTCCGCACCTGGTCTCCCATCGGAGTAAGTTCCTCTGCAATCTGAAACCACCACCGCAGAGACAATTGACTGATTACCACAGCTCGGTCTGGCCGTCGTTCCCTTCCTCCCGTATCTCTTCGACGAGCCCGTCGAAGAAGCTGTCGAGTGGGCCTTTAGCCGCGGGCTCTGGCTTTACGGCGGCGACGAAGCCGTCCGCCCCCTCCCTCCGCCAAAGGCCGCCCACGTCTCTCAGGACGAAGCCACCTCCCTCAGCCACTACCTCCGCGTGCAGACGGAAAAGCATAACAAAGAGTCGCTGGGCTCCGACGCCAGCGTCTCCGACTCGGCCGCCAACCTCTCCTGGGAGGCATACAAGGAGGAGCGCCAACGAGCGAAGGAGCAGCGCCAGCGGGAGCGCGAGCAGCACGGCCACACGGGTCCGCTCTCTTTCCTGAAGGGATTCGTCAAGGAAAAGACGGAATAAAGCTCCCAATTTGCCACTATATCTCTATATTGCTTCCTTGATACCAGATTTCACTATGCATCTCCTGGACCACTTCAGCGTTTGCCTGGCGCTCAGGACATTTAGTTTCTATATGTATATAAGTTAGCGGGTCTATCCTTTTTACTCATTTTTTTTTATTGGCAGGATCGTATCGGTCCATTGATTGTCTGTTTGACCACGTAACTCTATCCAGGGTGGATGGCTATTGGATATGAGGTAGAATATTTGCCACTACTATCCACGAACTGAATCCATCACCATTAGACGGAGATGCACCCACACCACCCACACTTGAAGCTATAACATTTCCATACATGTCGTCGCCCACATACAAGAGGACAACCGAGTATAATTCCACAATACGAACCGAACCCGCTGCATGAAAATTATTCTGACCACCTTCTCTCCCGGGCCCCCCTCCCTCTCCCAGGCCGGTCTCACACTTCCAGGAACACGTGGAGTATGACCACCCGAGGCGAGACAACCAAAATAGAAACCAATGAACTTCAGTGAAGATAGCAAGCTTTCGCAAAATGCAATGCATCTCTATATACATACCACAAAAAGCCCCATCTCGAAAAGGGAAGAACAGAACCGCCCCCCACCCCCCCCCCCCGTCCTCCCTTAGCACCAAAAACAGTGCTCAAACGATACACTAAAGAAAGATGCCCTATATCATCAAGCAATAATACTATAGAACGGTACTTACAACCACACACACGCCATTCAATCGAGCCGGGAATTATATTTCTTGCTATGCAAAAGCCAGATGGGAATTTGATGAGAATGCAGGTTCTGGTGGGAAGTTAATGGGAAAGTTGAGAGAGGGAGGGAGAGAATTATAGTTTGCACGCAGGCACTTGGGGTGGTTGTATGACAGGGACTAGAAAAGACTTTGCTATGTTGTAGAGAGAATGAGGGCAGAACAGAAGGGTTCGCTGAATTTCATGGACCGGTTGACCGCCCTAGGCACCACCAGCGGTAAATCAGTCATCCTTGGACCGATCCCTGGATGGATGAGTCCTGCTCGATCGTCCAGGTGACGGGGTGGGGAAGCGGCCTCTGAGGGTCGAGGATGAGGATGTCGAGGATGTTCCGTTGGGGGGGAGGGAGGTCGATGCTGATGTTGATGGGGGATTGCGGTCGAGATCGTTGCGACGTGCGGTTCCTCTGTCCGCTGGACCTCCGGGAGGGTTGGGTGCTGCCGGCTCTAGTCCATCGTTCAGCTCGATGAGATCGCCCAGATTATTGCGACGGCCGCTGGTTTGGAGGATCTGGACCGTAGGGTCGGTGCTGGAGGGGGTGCCGCTTGCTTGCTGCAGGTCGTTGAGGCTGGCTTTGGCGCGACTGGTCATCTTGCGGACCCACGATTCGACGGCCCCGCCGATGTTCTCGAGGCCCGTGGGGGTGTTGGAGACGGCAGAGGCGGTGGGGGTATCGGAGGTGGTGTCGAAGTTCGGGGGTCGGGTGGCGGGCGCGAGGTTGGGGAGGTGCTGCGCGAAGAACTTGCTCAGTCCGTCCATCGCGGGGCCCGGGGCGGTGATGTCGCGGTCGAGTGTGCCGACGCCGGGGGCGGAGAATTGAATGCCGCTGTGTTGGCGCTGATGCCGGGTTCCGGGCCTCCTGGGGTTCTTAGGGTTCTTGGGAGAAGAGGGGTCGGTGGACTGGCGATTCCATTGGAATATGGGAGGCTGGAAGGACTGGGGTTCAGCCGGTGATGAGGATACAGAGGAGGCTGTTGCCGTTCGTGCCTGATCCGAGGATGGTGATGGTACGGAGTCGGTATACGACACCGATTTTCGCCGTGTGCGTGGGAAAAACCCCAATGCGCCTCGAGGAATGCGCCCTATCTCGACTGGCGCATTGAATCCTTCGATCTCTACCCAGGACTCGTGCTTCCACACCCGGTCCCCGTCGCCTTCGTGCATAGTACTTGGTGGTTCCGTCTTCGGATGTCCCGGTACTGCAGTGGGTGCGATCGAGCTTCCATTCAAGTCTTCCAGAGACTCATGGGTACCGTTCAGTAGGTCAGCATCGGGCACACTCCGTTTTGGCCGTCCTTTGATCGAGCAAGCGGCAACCGGCAGGAGAACCGTTTTCCGGCCTTGTATGCTATCGCTGGGCCAGAATCCGTTGGCCTTTCGGAAAATTGCCGGCTGGCAGCCATATCGTATCGTAACACCGGTGATGGTATCTGTCGGTTGCACATGGTGTATGTATACTAGCGCGTCCTCGTCTTGCTCCGGGTCAATGTTGGAATGACCCGTTTGGTCGCTCGAGTCCCGCCGCTTGTGTCGCGAACCGGGTGCCCAAGCTGGCCCGGTGTCGGCCAGCAGAAGAGCCTCGCGTTTCTTTGCCTGCACCAATGCCTGCCGTTCTTCCTTGGTCCCCACTCCAATTTCCGGTGTCGACGGAGCCGATGGTCCCCATGACGCAGGTATGGATGAACGAGGGGGCGGTCTCGAATATAGGTCCGGTCGGGAGGGTTTCCGGGCATGACCTCGCGCGGTCCCGTTGGGAGCCGGTCGCGCAATATCGCTCCCTAGTACTGACGAGGCCAAGCTTTGCAGCGACGACCAGGATGCGTCCAGAAAATCTATAGATGAATATACTGTCTCAGCCAACTTGGATCCAGTCCTCGTGTCTTTGACGGAACCCACCTAGGGAGCTGTTTCCTCGATTGCGGTTGAAGGATTCGGTAGCTCGAGATGGATGTCTCATCGGAATAGGGGACACTCCGCGGGATGGGTTTGGCGATGGAGTGGCACCGCGAGAGCGGACGACCGACTCCGAGGACAGCATCGACGCCAGTCCGGAGGACTGCATTTGCCTCCCACCATCCTCATTGTCACTGTCGACGATGGAGATCAAGCGGCGAGTTCGCGGTCGCACGGTTGATGTGGATCTAGTGCTTGCAGTCCCGGGGTTGAAGGCTTCGGCCAAGCCGCTGTTGGAACTCATCCCTGGCTGTGGGAGGAGAAGGATAATAAGGGGTTGTAGACGTTGTCAGCTCTCCGGAGCGAGCTTAGCTTGGATGAGATCGCCCAGGCACTGATTGCCATCGGAGGTCTCTATCTCAGACCATTCGTCATGCGGCGGTTGTGATTATCGCATCCGTGTCCTAATCGTGAAACACCCGCGGCACTTGGAGATTATCAGGACAGTAGCACCCGTGCTTTGGCCCGATTGTGTAGAATGTATCGATTTCGGGGATATAGGCTCTGAGCGACCCTTGAGGGTTGGGCTGCGTTTGGGGGAGGGGAGGCTTTGAGGGGGGATGGGAGCGCGGGATAAGAGAAAGTATGGAGTCTAGTCCCTTGTGATGACGACTCCAGGTCGGGAGGGGGAGTTGGTCAATCGTACTTGAGGCGGGGTGATTGTCTCCTGATCGGTCGGGACAGAACGTCAAAGGAATTCGGGGAATTTTGAAGCTGGAGAAGAGAATGGAGAAGGACAGCGGCGACGATTGAGAAGGAGAATAAGGCGAGTGGGAACCGCTTGATCGGCAAGAAGCCTTCCCTAAGTACTCCGTAGAGTACAGACAGTAGTTAACTACCAGTAGTAATCTCATGAGTCTCTCTCTGTCTTAACTTGTCTCGCCCTCCCTTGACGTCGCCCGGTGGCGTACCGATTCATACTGTATGGTACCATTTCACACCACCGAAATTGGCTGGCCGCGTAATCGGGTTACAATACCATTTCCATTGCTAATGCCTAGAATAGCGAGTATCCGAGTATCTTGTCCCAAGCATCTCGTCCCAAGCATCGATGATGATAATACACAGGGGCTCCAGGAACAGTCTATGAACAGAAGTATGTCTAGTAAGCCCTGTCGCAGACAACAGAATTGATTGCACAAAGCCAGCATGCCAGTTATCATCACTGGCAACAATTCGCGCTTAGATAGCCAAGCCAAAGAACCAGAGAGAGAAAAAAAAAAAAAAAAAAAAAAACGCCGGGCCCATCGGGCAAGTATAGATTGACATGGAGGTAAAATGCACAGGAAAATCCAATGATGCCGGATGAAGAAGAGAACTGGTTTACTCGGGAGGTTCGGCCATCTCCGCCGGTCGTGTCTCTGCTTCAGACGTCGCTTCAGACTCGGTACTCCATTCTTTCTCCGAGTTCGCTTTGGCCTGAACCTGAGTGGGTGGAGGAATGACCCGAACACCACCGGCACGGCTGAAGAAATCCTCCGTCCGTAGGCCACGGACATCCTTGGGGTCTACTGAAGCCATCTGCTGCCCATCGGCCTTCTTTTGTCGGATCAACTCTCGCACCGGAACCATGGCCGCATCACGGCACGCCTCCTTGATATCACTGCCGGACATGCCTGACATGGCTTTAACGAGGTAGTGCAGATCGAAGTTATCCCGGTCGACCTTTGTGTCCTTCAAGATCAGACTGAGAATCCGCAGGCGTTGTGCTGCGGGCGGGAGTACGACCGGGAACTTCTTCGGCATTCGTCGAAGGATGGCGTCGTCAATATCTTGGATACGATTGGTGGCACCCAAGACAACCACGCGCTGAGGTTCTCCCAAGGAGTTTGCGGATGTGAGACCGTCCCAATGTGTCATGAATTCTGCCTTGACCATGCCACTGGCCTCATGTTCTCCGCTCCGTCTCGTGCCCAGCACCGCATCGATCTCATCAATAAAAACAATCGAGGGTTGAAGTTTTCGGGCTAGCGAGAATACTGCATTGACGAGCTTGTTGGAGTCGCCGTACCATTTCTCCGTCAATGTTGAGATGTGTAGGTTGATGAAGCATGCGCCGCTCTCGTGAGCCAACGCTTTCGCAAGCATAGTCTTTCCGCAGCCAGGCGGTCCGTACAGTAAGACACCCGATGGCGCGGTCAAGAGTGAGGAGGACGAGGAATATAGGTGGGGCATCGTAAGGGGGTATATAACAGACTCTTTCAGCTCCTCGATGATATCGTCCAGGCCGCCGATATCTTCGAAGGACACATGAATATCGTCCGGAGCAACCACATCCATCGCGATGGCTTGTTCATATTGGTTGAGAGTCAAGTCGCCCCTCTTGGATCGACTCTTCTCTTTGCGCCCGCGGCGCGGCGAACCCTCGTCTGATTCATCCCCGCCGTCAAGTTTCCGTAGGATGGCAGCGGATTTGCGTCGTTGTTCTTCCTTTTTCTGACTTTCGGGATCAAAGTCGAGGCGCGAGATAAGGTATCGGATGAGGAAGTATGCAGATGCAGACTACTCACGATCTGTCAGTATTGTTCCGAGGTTCGCAGCGTCATCAA